TCTCTCTCTCTCTCTCTCTCTCTCTCTCTCTCTCTCTCTCTCTCTCTTCGAACATATGATGTGCAGTACGTCGAAAAATAACGCGAAAAAAACACTTCAAACATTCGCTTTCACTACGTTCTTGAGCTCATATGGTATTTTATGACCATACAATAATAGTATTTATTGATGTAGGTTCATATGAACTATAGTTATAGCGCAATGTCTTGAATTTATTTTATAGAAAATAGCGCCGTTGCGGTCATTATACTTCTGTGCTTAGCTTTCGATTTAAATTTATGTTCGTTGATGGAGTTCACATTTATTTATGTCCGTAATTTAACGGAGATGAAAATAATCGGCGAATGATTTCGAACATTTGAAAGTGATTTTCTTTTTCCAAGATTCATGGATGTTTTTATTTCATGCCACCTTTTTCTTCAAATAGAATACGCTATTTGCGATAGATTTTACATTCACCATTCTACTGATTGAGTATACAAAAAATAACGTATAAATATCTAAGCGATTATTTGGTCGATTTATTTGACCCGCGCTTTATTTATTTTCACACTTTTTTGCAATTCATTATTAAATAAAACTTAAACTTGCGAAATTTTGATAAAAATGGGAACGAATAAAAAAAAGTTTCAAAACAAACTTCAGTCACAAGCTAAATCGCATCGTCAATCAACTTTTGAATTAAACGAATCAGATGTTAAATATTTATATATAAAATATATTTGTTGGTGAAAAAATGTCGATAAATAGAAAATATTGAAAATGTTCATGCCTTTACATTATAAAGTTATTATTGTAATAAATATTTATTGAGGCAATGTCAAAATATTGTATGCACCCAGAAATCACATTGCATTTTTCACATGATCAGATGAGATATTCGGAGAAATCTTTTACAATTTTTCTGAATCATTTTAATATTTGAGAATAACTTTTTTGATCAAAATCAATATTTTTCGGCTATGTCAAAATTGGTCACAGCGGAAAATCTGATTTTTTTTACAAGTGAATCGTAATAATTCAAAATAAAAACATTGTGCTATTGTTTGATTTGAACTAATAACAGTGCATTAATAAATAATTATTGAGTTTAATTGCAATTAACATGAGGAAATAGAGGAAATATCCAACTTAATGCACATTGCAGGAAATTCTTTGATCAAGAAAGATCAGGCAAGAGAATTATCAAATGATTGCAATAATTAAATCTTATAATCAACTGTATGAACTATGACACCATAAAAAAGTGTAATAAAAAGTCATTGGTGCACTGAAGCATTTGATATAAGAATCAATCCATAATTGAAACTAATTCTCCATGTATATTCACATTTATTATTTAAAAAAAAGCGAAAAATGCGAATGAATTAAAATAATTATCGATGATAAATATATATATTTTTCTCATAATTTTTCGCTCTTTGGTTATTTGCATTCTTCTGTCTATTAAAATACATCGTAAACATCATAAAAACATGTTGTCAATACAACAAACAGAAACTTCAAAATACCGATGAAAATGTTATGAGTCTTGGAACGAAGCGAAACGCACAAAAAGAAAGCCGAAATAAAAGTAATTAAAAAAAGCCTATCATAGCGAACGTTCGCTAACTTATCTATTTGCACATAAAGTAAACGTGTTTTTGTGTATTGTGCTTGCGTCTACGCTTCTATAGAAAACTATCGAACAAGCTGTAGTATGGGTTTTTCGCGTTTAGTTTGACTTCAGCTGTTGAAAGAAACGGTTCGGTGTTACCTACTCTAGCGCATAATTCGAATAGAGAAAGAAACAAAAACTGGATATTTTAATTGTTTTGTGAAACCAAAAACCGTTATCACAATGACCATTTATGCGAAAATCGTTCAAATTATTTTGATTACATACATCGATTCGATCAACATTGTTTAGTCGACAAAGAGAGAAAAACCAACGGTGAGTGAAAGTGTTTTCCATAAAATGATACCCAATATATCAATTATCAAGCTCGTTAAATGTGTTAAATCAATTGAACTTTATCTGACTAACAAGACCAAAAGAAACTTAAAATAACAAGAGCGAATTTACGTCATATGAATTCTTATAGACGAATTTCATTAGCGCTTTCGTCTTAATTAGTACATCCGAAAGTAGTAATTGATAATAATTCACTTTGTCACGGGGTCTGAACTTCTGACAAACTTACTTGAGGTGACACTCGATTTTCGATGGCACGTGTTTCCATGCATCGATCAGTTGACTGTGGAAAATTAATTGGATTCCTCACAGAAATTAACGATCGTAATTCAAGGTTATTGATGGCAATCAATGTAATGCGACGCGAAAAAAATCTAGAATTTATCCGTTTTAATTTAAAAAAAGTGCTCAAAAATATATAAGCAAAGATTCGAGACTAAAATGTAATTATAATTTGATTATTGAAATCATGAAATTCAGATATTCGCTGTAATTGTTTGAAGCAAGAATTTTACATTAAAACATGTAAACAAAAGTTAAAAGGCGTGAAAGAAACATTCATGTGAAAAAATGTTCAGCTTACTTAGGTGATGTAATTATATTTAAAATAAACAACCAAGTTACACCGGGAAGACAACAATAAAATGCGCACAAAATTGCACAGATTTGGTGTGCATGTATGTTTTTCCATTGAATCAACACATTCCAACTAATTCAACGCCGAGTCATGTGAAAAATAATTTCAAGTCAAAGAAATTGGGCCTATTTCAACTAAAATGTCATAAAAAATCGCTGAAATTGTTCGTCATTATTCTGTTTTGTTCACGTTATTATTACACACGCTGACTTTTCGGTTATCGTGTCAATTTTTTGTAAAGTTTTTTTTTCGTTTACACTCCGCGAACTTATCCAACTGGACAAACTTGTTAAAAAAAGCCCCGTAATATATTAACCGCGATTGAATTCGCGAATTTCTAAATAAAGGTGTGAATTGGATGTCTAATTAATATGAAAATATGCTAGGTGCTTTGGCTTTTCCGCTAACTCATTCCATTGAATTTCGATTGTATTTTGCTATTCAAGTATCATAGTCATGTTTTTTAGTTCCAATCTAATGAATCAAGGAGACACCAATTTTGGAAATTGTCAAACGAGTGTCAAATTACAGATATTATTTGTCAGATAATGATTGAACTAAAATTCGCAAATTATTTTTTTTTTGTCTCCATACCATCATTTTGGTGATTATTTCGCATGTCCTTCACACGGTTCAGTTGATAGATTTTAACATATAAGATAGATCTCTCTCTCTATGTTAAGTGGTTTAGTTTTTGTACTCAACTGTAAATTGAACAAAAAGTAAATTGAACGTGTCTTACTTCACGCTATTGGCTTTCTTCAGTGGAAATATGAATGGAGGGAGGAATTGTAGCGAAAATATTTTACTGAACATAAACCATTTATTAAATTGCAAATTCAGTCAAAATAAATGTTTCGGTTCCTCTTTCCACCGTGATAAATATCCGCATTATTAACATTTTATCATCAAAATAAATAAAACAATTTATTTCGAATGATCAACTAGCTGAATAAAGACGAAATGTCGATTCATTTCCCAAACTGCATGATGAAATCCCAAGACAATGAATTGGCAATTCAATCCAAAAGGTTAATTTTTATTTGCAACTGAAACAAAATGCCATTGCACTGTTTCCAATCCACGCTACAGAGCCGATTAATCGGACACACATAAATTTTGTTACGGTCTTCATACAAACCGGCAAAGAAAAAAACAGAAACGAAAAAAAGTGAATGAAAAATGATGTAAATTAAGTCAGTGATCATAAGGAAGTGTTTAGGTTTTTATGTTAATTTGATGCTCAACATTTGGACTTAAATTGTAGCAAAAGTTCAAAAGTGTTTAATTTAATGAATTTTGAGGACTATTGACGAGCAGGTAAAGTGTAAAGTGTCTGACCGCTTATAACCTTGATGTTTTACTTGCGCTAAAGACACAACATAAACACGGATTAATACAAAGTACACCCAATCCACTTAAATTGCCCGGAGCAATTGCATTTGAATTGTATTTTAATCCATTGGATTTGAACAAATGCCTTATTTTCAATTGAATACATAAACATGAATCAAGATAATTACCCATTCAACATTTACGATTGACAATTAGAAGCAGATGAAACGTGAAATCGATTGGTTGAAATCTGTTCCAAATCTGTCTGATGCCTATCGAAACCGATTTATTATCTGAATTTTATGCGTGCTTATTCAATTCATACCAAAAATGTGTATTGTTCATATTGTTGTACATATGTTTTGCTGGTCATTATCAAGGTCATCGCGGTGTTGGCTTCGATATGAAGAAACCATTCACTCGCGTATATGATCGCGTGCACACCATTCATAGTAAATGGTCTCGAATTTATTCGCTGTTTATTAATAAATTGTACAGTATGAGTAAAAATGTACAATCAACTCTTGTACATT